CACACACGTGTGCCTGGCATGATTTCTAAACCAACAGGTCTGGGACTCAAATCATGGTACACTGTGTGGGAGCCCAGCATCTTTTTTTTTTGGAGAGGTTTATTTTGCTCTAGGGCACATTCACTTGCCAAATAGAGAAGACAGAAAGTGAAAAATCACCCCCCAGGGGGGATAGCCATGCCGCAATCCCTTCTCCATTCTCCTCTTGGGATCTTGGGCATGCACACACACATGTCTGGCATGAGTTTTAAGTGACTGGGTACAGGACTCGATCCGTGGTTGACTACATGGGAGTTCAGCGACATAGCCATTACGCTAACTGTTGGTCCCTTTTTTTTGGAGGGGGGAGCCCAGCATCTTAACCACCATGCCACCTGCTGGCCCCAGTTGTCCCTGCTTTAAAGGGCTGGTGCGCAAGGATTGTTAAAAGTTCATATATGTAGGGCCGCAGGTGATGTGGTGGTTAAGGGCGGTGAACTCCTGCATGGCCGACTGCTGTCTGAGTCCTGGACTTGGCGGCTTGCTTTCTCACTTGCCCGTTCTCTCTCTCTGTCTGGTCAAATTTGGAAAATAATAATAACAAAGTTTAATAATTATTTTTTTAAGTTACTGTATATAAAAATGCTCTAAAATACATGGCACATGGCATTTGCTCAAAGTGTATGACCCACTGAGATACGCCAAGCGCTCTGCACAGCCACCCCAGGCTCCAGTGACAGGACAGCGACATAGGTTGGCCCTAAGTCCTCGGCATCCCCTTAGCCACCCAGTTGTAATTGGTGAGTTCTTATCTTCCCTGCTGAAGTGTGCAGGGGACTTCTACAAGTTCGTAGGAAATGGAATTCAACTATGAGTTTATTTTGGTGCAGAACATCCTGAAATTCATGTGCAGTTTTCCATAATGTGCATTTTCCATGAACTTTTGGAAGACTCGTACACTGCTTGTTTCTCCAGGAAACAGACGCAGAGAAATCACAGAGCGAGGCCATGGAGTGAGAGAGTGGAGCCCGGACCGGGCAGCCGTGCTCATGTCCTTGGCCCTGCTGCGCCTGCACTCAGTGGTGGCTGGGGTTCCAGCAACCTCTTTGACTGCTTGATGGTTACTTCACTCCTAACCCCAGGACGTAGTCTCCACCTTCTGAGTGTCAAAGGCGGGAACTTGGAGAGCTAGGCATAAGCTGGGAAGCTGAAGTAGTCCAGCCCTTCCATTGGCCAGTAGAAACAGTGGGCCCAGAGAGCCTAACACAGGCCATGTGGCCAATTACTGGCAGGGTGGGGCCTGAGGGGCCTCTTCTGCTCCAAACGTTGCCTTATTGGTATTTGGGCAATTCTGCTTGATGAGGCAAAAAAGGAAAAACAAAACAAAAACAAACAAACAAAAAACAAACATAAAATGGTCTTTCCAGTGGGTCAGCAGATGACATACTTGTGGTTACATTGTTGGACTCCCACATGGCCAACCAAGGTTTGAGTCTTGGACTCAGTCTCTTGAAAATCATGCCAGGTGCATGTGCATGTGTGCCCAAGATTCCGGGAGGAAGAAGGGATTGTGGCATGGCCATCCCCTTTAGGGGCTGATTTCTCACTTTTCCTCTCACCGTCTCTGTCTCTTTCTCCAGCAAGCACATGTACCCTAAGGCAGAAGCCTCTTTAAAAAAAGAATGGTTTTAATTTAAAAAAAAAAAAAAAAAGTGTGTGGGGGGGTGCAGCAGGTATCATGGTGGTTAAGGGCACTGGACTCTCACATGGCCAACTGCGGTTCAAGTCCTAGAACTGGTAGCTTGCTTTCTCACCTTCTCTCTCTCTGTGTCCCTGATCGAACTAGGAAATCATCATAAGTAAAGTTAAATTAAATAATTCTTTAAAAAAATAATGGTTCTTCCAGAAGAATCTAAGTTCTTCAGAGCCTGGGATTAGGGCTGTTGTGTCTTGTGCTGGCTGGGGGTTCCTGCCCAGGGCTCGATGTAAGGAGGCATTTGCTCAGGTGCCAGTGGGCCCTCTCTAGGAGCAGCACTGACGCACTGACAGCGCGTCCCATGCCAGGCCAACGCTGGGTGCCATCGCCGAGATTTCACTGAGCGGTCTCAGCACTCGAGAATTCTTTTATTGGGATCAGTGGATGGCTTAATGGTTACGTCGGTGGACTCCCACATAGCCAACTGCGGTTTGAGTCCCAGACCCGGCAGCTTGAAACTCAGGCTGGGCACGTGAAGAGTTGCAATAGGCCCTGGCTATTGCCCCAACCCTATTAGCATAAAGCCGTGCTACTATTTCTCTCATCTTTGTTTTGTTTTCCTTTCTTGACCTCACTTCCTCCTCTATCTACTGTCCTATTTTTCTGAAAGACCTTCCAAGAAAATTCCTCAAAAACATTGTCTGTACTCAAGTCTCCAATGTCTTTCCTCTCTCTCTCAAATATTTGTGCATGCTATTTTTTTTTAAATTTGCTATAGGGTGCATGTTCTCATCAGACAGAGACAGAGACAAAGATGGGTGGAGAGTGAGAAATCACCTCCTAGGAGGGATGGCCGTGCCACAATCCCTTCTCCATTCTCCTCCCAGGATTTTGGGCATGTGCGCACATGCACCCACAGGGCAGTATGAGGACCCTGTTAGGGGTGCCTGTTTCCCTCTCTCTGTCTCTGTCTGTCTCTATGCGGGGGAAATAAATAATTTTTAAATTTAAATAACAAGCATTAACATTTTTTTATCTATTTTTTTTTTTTTTTTTTTTTTAAACAGGGCCTCACTACGTTGCCCAGGTTGGCCTCAAACTTGTGATCCTCCTGCTTCAGCCCCTTAAGTGCTGGGATTGGACTCATGCAGCACCATTTCTAGCTACTTTTTGATGTAACTATTATCCTTTGCATTTCATAAAACAAAATTCACGTAACAGAACACTTTAAAAATACAGAAGGTAGAAAGAAAAAGGGAAAAGCCACCAAAATTCCCTCTAAATAAAAAAGACTGCATTGTGACCTTTTATTATTAATTGTTCCGCTTTGTAGGGTACAGTGTGATTTTTCAGTACAAGGAGACAAGATGCTACATCATCCCCGTGAGCTTAGCATATCCAGCTCTCTGACATCTGTCCTTTCTGTTAGGAATATTCCAAGCCCTGTGATTTGGCTAATCTGAGGTGTACATAGAGGGTTAATGATCAGTCACCCCCTACTGTACTATAGCCCTATAACCCCTTTGCACATCATTCTGGATAGCGACTTAGTGTATGGATACATGCGTGGATGAACATTTTGTTTTATCCAGTTCCCTATGCTAGAACGTTCTAATGGCTTCTAGTATTTCATGGTTCTGAATTGTGCTGCAGGAAAGGGGTAATTTTCTCACAATAACAGCTTGTAAAAAAATCACCGACTTCTCACTGCAGAGCCTTGAGAATGTAGACTGGACCTGAGCTTTAGACTCCTCTAAAGATAGGACCCAGAACCACTGAGAGAGGCAGGAGGAAGAGTGGGGTGGAGGAAGGGCACGGGATAGTTTCTGTCTCAGAAAACTGTGTCGATGTTTATTATAAATGGACTGTAGTTACATGCCGTTTGCAAAATGCACAAGCCCACATACTGGGTTCCAGTTTTAATGAACATGAGTTCTTTGGTCTTCTTGGTCTCCAAGTCGCTCATCCATTTCTCTTCCATCCCAGGTATTTCTTATTTTTTATTATTATTTATTTGTTTATTTTGGAGAGGTTTTTGCTATAGGGTGCATGCATTCGCCAGAAAGGCAGAGAGAGACAGAGAGACAGAAAGGGAGGAATCAACCACTGGGGGGGATGACCACGCCGCAATCCCTTCTCCATTCTCCTCTCAGGATCCTGGGCACACATGCACACGCGCCCAGTGTGAGTTTAAGCCACTGGGTCCAGGACTTGAACCACAGTCAAGTACATGGGAGCCCAGTGACATAGCCATTATGCCAACTGCTAGTCCCATCCCAGGTTTTTCTGGAGTCTCCAAGGGTTGTCATGAACCATCGTAGGTGTCTCTTCCATTGTCTTAGCTGCTGGGTTCACTAGAAGTTTCCCTGTTAGGCACCTTGAGTTTTCTTGGTCTGTGTGTCTTGCCTCTCTTCTGCCAGAGCTCCATGGATCAACTTGATCAACTGGGCAAAGAAGGAAAAGAGAAAGTTGATTTGCTTCTGTAGCATAGTAAAGACTCCCACAGTAGGTTCGCCAGAGCCCCCAGATATTGCAGGGCTTGGGGAGGTCGCTCTTCCCTTCACACCTCGCCCTTGCCCTTCCCACTCCTGGCCCGGCGTACCAGCACAGAGGTGTGCTCGTTGATATGAATGGATGCACTGTGGCTGGAAGAGCCACGCGAGCCCAGAGGAACCCAGCAGACGCACAGCCCGGGACACACGTGGTGGGCAGCAGTCAGAAGGTACCAGCTTGCCCCCAGCCCACCCACCTGAGGAGGGACAGGTCCATCCCTCAGGGTTCCCAATGCCCCTGAGCTCGCATCATCCAATTTACTTCTCCTGGTCATTAATGGCTTCTCTGGGGCCTGTCTCCCCTTCCAGGCCCAAAGAGCCTCTGGGGCAGAGCCTGCCCACATGTGTCCTCAGTGCCCCAGCAGGGCCTGGCCTAAGCTGGTGCTTCATGACAGGTAAGGGAAGAGGGAAGCGAGCCACTTTGAAATCTGAATCCCGGTCTCACAGTTGACAAAGGAGCAATCTGTGCCAGCCTTCCTGGTTTTTCAGGAGCCTGAATACTGCCCAGAGGAACAAAGTGCATCTAAACTGTGAAGACAAGGTCCCCGACTTCGCTGCAAAGTGGAATTACTGGAGCGCTCTTAAAAATCCCAAAGGCTGGCCAGCATGTGGCATGGAACTTAAGGTGCTAGATGACACATGGCCCTCTACACAGTTTGAGTCCCAGACCCAGTGGCTTGAAAATCACATCAGGCACGTGTGCGTGCATGCCCCAAATCCAGAGAGGAGGGTGGAGGAGAAGAAGAGACTGCAGTGCGGCCACCTACCCCGACCCCCAGTGGGAGATTTCTCACTTTCCTTCTCTCTCTCTCTGTCTCTCCAGTGAGCACATGTGCCCTACAGCAAAAACTAACTTTTTTTTTTAATTTAAAAGTCCAGGTCATATCAATTAAATCCCAATTCTTGTGGTAGGCCCCAGCCACTCATCAAAATTTTTGGAGCCGTCCCAAGTAATTCCTATGTACAGACAAGTTTGGAACGATTTCCTAAATCCTCGGCCCCTATGAAGGGGCTCACTTAATTAAAATCTGTTGAATAAGCAGGTGAACGAATGAATGAATTTATGAGCCTCTTCGGCAAAGGCTTGTGTGCCCTCTCCCACATCTCAGGCTGAGGTCATGCTTCCCGGTCACATTCTATTCTCGCCATAAAATTTCACTGATTTTGGATATTCTTCTTCATTTTCTGGTCATAGTTTTCTCATTTTACTTTTTACACCTAGATATTTAATTTCTCTAAATAGGAGAGTCTAGAAATAGAAAATGGCTCAAATAAAAATCTCTTCCCTGGGGCTCGTTCTCCGGTGCAGTGGTAGAGTGCGGCTCAAGAGAAGCTGGATCCACAAGATGGCGGAGGTTCGACTCCCTGGCCCTCAGCCTGAAACACACGAGGCACGTGTATGAGCGCCCAAGATCTAACCGGACGGAGGGCAGGAGAAAGGAGATTGTGGATGACCAGCCTATGTGGAGGGTGCTCGTCTCTCTCCTCTCTCTCACACATGTGTTTATCATGAATAAAGAACAAGTTTTCAAATCTGGTATAGGGTGAGTATACTCACTGGAGAGAGATACACAGAAAAAAGAGAAGTGAGAAAGCACCCCCTAGTGGGGATGGCCACACAGCAATCCCCCGTCCTCCACTTTCCTGTCTTGGGTACGCCCATACACGTGTGTGTGCCCAGTGTCTCCCTCAAGCCGTGGAGTCCAGAATTCAAACCACATGGTTGGCCATGTGGGATACAGCTGCCTTAACCACTGGCCTGAAAAATATTTTAATTGAAAAAATAAAAACTTTTGGACTCATTTGAAGTGCCATCTTTCTCATGTAGCACTGCCTTTCTTCACTGGCCATGGGTTAGGGACCTCTTCTCTGCCTGGCCCCTCTAGATGCTAGGGTTCTGGGATGGACGGGATGGACACATCCCCGCCCAGGCAGAGCGTAGGACAGCCGGCCAGCCAGCACCCACACAAACACACGTGAGGTTTCACTCATCTCTAGTCCACACTTCGAGAGGAAAGATGCTGGGAGGAAGTTAGGACTGAATTAGTCAGGGGAGTGGGGCAGGTCCTGTCTCCGAAGAAAAGATGGGGGCAATGAGGCACTTAGCCACGTGCTTCCGCATCCTCCCTCTCTCGCACACCACCTTATGACGACCAGGACCCATTTCCCATTTCGTCATCACTCCCATCTCACCTTTCAGCTCCGTGTGGTCGGCTCCTTTGCGGGCCCTGCCCGAGAACCTGGGACGAGGCCGCCTCTTCTGCTGCAGGCTCTGGTAGTGCTGAGTGAGCTCGCTCAGCTTCTGCTCCTGCATCCTGGCAAGCGCCTTCAGCTCCTCTGCCATCTCCGCCTGCGCCCCCTCCTGCAGGTGCCTCCACTTCTGCCAGAAGTTGTTCATGTCATAGATCATGAAGAAGCCAGCCCCGGTCACACCCAGCAAGCGGGAACCACTGGCCACGCCCTGAGCTGTACCCTGAAAGGCACTCTCCATCCCGCCCACATTCAAGATAGGAGCAAACTTTGTGGCCACGAAATTCTTGACCGTGGCAATGAAGCCGGAGTTGGCTTGAGCGAGCTGGTAGGCACGGAGGTCACTGATGCGCTGGATTACTCTCGTACACCTGTTAATACACAGTCCAGCATCCTCGACGTCAGGCAACTCGATCCCGCCGGCGGCCTTGTCCTGCGATTCTGTAGCAGACAGCAGGCTGTTGGCTTTGTCTCTTGCTGCCGAATTGCTTCTCTTTTCTAAGACATTTGTCACAACACCAGTGATGGCAGCTGCTGCCCCCAGACTTGCCCCAGCAGCTGACAGCATGAGGCTCCCTCCTGCTGTCAGAGGGGCAAGGGCCATACCCAAAATGCTAATGGCTCCAGAAACAGCTCCCGAAGAGCTGGCCAGCAAGCTGACCTTGGTGAACCTCTTGTGGCTTGCGTCAACTTGGTCTGCAAGGGCATTAAGTTCCTTGATGTTATTCTCCAGCTTCGACTTCTCACAGGGAAAAAGGAAGAGGAACAGCTCCTCCTCCTCCGACAGGTTCGACTCTGGCATGGACTCTGTCTCACGTTCCACCAGCTCCATGAGCAGGATGGAGCACAGCGTGTTGACCTCCTCCCTGTGGACAGTCCGTACTGAACAGTTAGTTCTCCCACTCCAGGGCACCTGTGGTAATCTCAGTTCCCAAATGCAGCCAGCCAGCACCCACACAAACACACGTGAGAGTTCACACATCTCTAGTCCACACATTGAGAGAAAAGATGCTGGGACCAGCAGTTGGCGTAATGGCTATGTCGCTGGACTCCCACGTAGTCGACCGCAGTTTGCGTCCTGGACCTGGTGGCTTAAAACTCACGCCGGGCGCGTGTGCGTGCGTGCCCAAGATCCCGAGAGGAGAATGGAGGAGAAGGGATTGCAGCGTGGTCATCTCCCCTGGGGGGTGATTTCTCTCTTTCTGTCTCTCTGTCTCTCTCTGTCTGGCGAGGGCATGTGCCCTAAAGCAAAAACCTCTCCAAAAAAAGAAAAGAAAAAAAAAGAGAGAAAAGATGCTTGGGAGGAAGTTAGGAGGGACTGAGGCAGGGTGCTGGAAATCGAGGAACAAGGTGGGGAAGACACGGAGGGTCTACTCTGAACGGGAGCCCCAGGGGCCAAGAGTGGAGAGCCGGAGCAGGGTTTGAGTAACCCCTGTGCATGCCAAGACTGGCTCACATCTCATTCCTCCACAGGCTGCTCTCCTCCACATGTGTGTGGCCCTGATGTGATGACTGACTAACAGGTATGCCTAGCCTTTATTCCCAAGTCTTTTCTTTTTTTTTCTCTTTTTTTTCTCTTTCTTTCTTTCCTTTTTTTTGGAGAAGTTTTTGCTATAGGGCATGTGTGCTCGCCAGGAAGACAGAGAGAGACAGAGAGACAGAAAGAGAGAAATCACCCCCCAGGGGAGACGGCCACACTGCAAACCACTCTCTCTCCTCTCGGGATCTTGGGCACGCACGCACACGCGCCCGGAATGAGTTTAAGCCACCAGGTCTGGGACTCAAACTGCAGTCAACTACATGGGAGTCCAGCGACATAGCCATTACACCAACTGCTGTTCCTCACTTTTTTAAAAAAATATTTACTTATTTATTTGTTATTATTTATTTGTTTATTTTTTAATTTGACCAGAGGGAGACAGAGAGAGAGAGAGAAAGTGAGAAAGCAAGCTGCCAGGTCTGGGACTCAAACCATGATCAGCCATGTGGGAGTCCAGAGCCTTAACCACCACACCACCTGCCGGTCCCCCCAAGTCTTTTCTTAATAAGTATATGCATACTTAAATTTAACGTTTATAATAAGTTGTCAGTAATTCTATTAAAGAAAATGAAGAGAATACTAAGAATAAGTGGAGGAGACGTATTCCTTGGTTTTTCTTCTTTTTTCTTTTTTTATGTTAGAAAACAGGAGGCGTAGTGGTTAAAGCGCTGGTCTCTAACTTGACTGGCCACAGTTCAAGTCATGGACCCAGTGGCTTGGAACTCAGGCCAGGTGCATGTATGGGTGTGTCTAAAATCCTAAGAGGAGAATGAAAGAAGAAGGGATTAGACACGGCCATCCCCCCAGGGGATGATTTCTCAAGTTCTCTCTCTTTCTGTCTCTGTGTCTTCGGCGAACACACAAGCCCTATAGCAAAAATCTCTCTTAAAAAAAAAAAAAACAAAACCTACACTGCCAAAGTAAACTGTGGGGAAGACCTCCAACAAGACAGCCAAATGTCACCTCTTCCACAGGAAGAGCTTCAGCATTGTTCAGTTTGACAATACATGTTTTGAAAACTAAAAGCAGATTTTTAACAAAAAGGTCCTCGTTCTTAGAAACAGTGGGATCTGCTCTGTTCATGTGTTAGCATGCAAGAATAAGCATGTAAGTCTTAAGAAAAAGTGAAGAAAATGAAAAATAAAATACACAAGAGAAACAGTCTCTCAAAATAGACTCAAGATGGCTGACAGGAAGCATCTAGGGCCCATGTCCTCCACAACGAGGCGTAAAAGAACAACCAGGCAGACACATTTCCAGTGGAAGAGCTGAGAAAGAACATTTAAATGTTCCAAGGAAAGATCCGAAGTGTTCTGGCACGTGAATGCTCAAGAGGAATGACTTAGAAAGGGAGCCCGAGTACCCACTGGCTGAGATGGGCAGGCCGGAATGGATGGAAATCCCTGGGCTGGCAAGAATGAGGAGGTGGTCCCTCGTAGCCTTTGGTACCCACCATGGACGGCACTCCCAGCTGCCTGGGGATCCAGTGCTCTGTACGGCCCTAAGCCCACTGAAGGGAAGTTCCTGAGACCCACAGGGCTGCCTCACTGCAAGGAAGGCTCTCATCCTAGATAGCCCCTCCTTCCAGAACCCCACCCTAGCCGGACTGAGCAGTAGGGCCATAACCCTTGTACCCAATCCCTTACAGCACTTGACACCCCAGGACATGACAGACCAGTGCAGCAGCAAGACTTTTCCAGGGAATGGGTGGATGGACACAGGAGCCCCTGCTGAGCCTAACTCGCATGCCAGCTCCCACATAGGCCTGCCCCTGAGGGGCCCTTCCAGCCTCTGCCATCATCGCCTCTAGCTTGCCCTGGGCCTGGCACACACAGTGACTCAGTGCATCGCTCCTACCTCCTTTGGGGTCCTCCAGCCTCAGCCCCCACAGACCCTGACTTGCCCTGGGCCTGGCTCATGCACCAGCTCCTACACAAGGACCCCAGGCTTCCAGAGGAGACCTCCAGACTTGGATGACCCCAACTCCTGACTAGTGCAGAGTCAGCAGTCACAACATATGGGGGCCACTCCCAGTGAGGCCCGTGGACTGCAGACTGGCACTGTTGGCCCTGCTGTCCTGAGCGACTGCTCCCTTCCCACTGCTAGAGTCAACAGGCTCCTTAGAGATGCAGGCCAACACCCCACCATTGCCTACAGCCAAGCGGTTCACTTGGGGATCCCCACCCTGAACAACACTGCACCATGACCAGCACAAATGCTTGCAGTTCAGAATGAGCAAACACTGAGCCACCATTGTCAGGGAACACGACAGAAGAAAACCTATGGAGACTTCTATGCCCACTCAAAGCCAAAACACCCCACCTAAACAATACTAAAGGACACATTCTCAAGAAAAAATCTTCCACTGAGCAAGCTGGGACCCCCCAAATTGGAAGAGGTGACTATCCAATTAGATGTGCGTGCGGATAACCTAACCGATGAAGGGATGCAAGGAATGCGATAGAGAAGGAACCTGACACCTCAGTGGAGCACAGTAATTCTCCAGTAATAGATCCCCAACTAAGGAAATTCTTGACATGCCTGACAGGGAACTCAAAATAGTGGTTCTAAAGAAACTTAATAAGTGGGCCAGCAGGTGGGCGTGGGGAGTGGGACAGCTGGAGCTCACATAGCCAACTTTGTCCTTTGAGTCCAGCAGCGTGAAAATCACGCTGGGCTGCATGCACGTGTGTGTGTGTGTGCTTGCACACGTGCTCAGAGTCCCCAAGGGATGGAGGAGAAGGGATTGTAAGATGGTCGTCCACCCTGGGGTGTGATTTTTCACTTTCCCTCCTCCATTCTCTCTAATGGTCTCTCTCCAGAGAGTGCACATGCCCTACAGGGGGGGAAAAAAAAAAAAAGAACTTAAAAACTACCGGTGAACAAATCAGTGAAATCAAGAAAACAATACAAGACCAAAATGAGAAATTCAGTGCAGATAGAAATTATTATTATTATTATTATTATTTTGGAGAGATTTTCGCTATAGGGCGTGTGCGCTCACCAGACAGAGAGAGAGAGACAGAGAGACAGAAAGCGAGAAATCATCCCCCAGGGGGGATGGTCACGCCGCAATCCCTTCTCCTCCATTCTCCTCTCAGGATCTTGGGCATGCACGCACACATGCCTGGCGTGAATTTTAAGCCACCGGGTCCAGGACGCGAACCACAGTGGACTACATGGGAGTCCAGCAACATAGCCATTATGCTAACTGCTGGTTCCCTAAAGAATTATTTATTTATTTAATTCCATTTATTGTTATTATTTTTCTTAATTTGACCTCAGAGAGAGAAAAAGAGAATGTGAGAAAGCAAGCCACCACATCTGAGACTCAAACCACAGTCAACCAAGTGACTTAACCACTATGCCACCTGCTGGTCCCTGAGATAAAAATTATTAAAAGAAAAGAAAAGAAACTCTCAAGCTGAAATAGTCAATAAATAAAACTTAAAATACAATAGAGAGCTTCAATAGCAGATTAGATCAGTGGAAGAAAGAATCTACACAAAACAATCAGAAAACACCTAACAAAATAACAGAAATAAGTTCTAATCCATCTGGAATCACCCTAAATTAAATAGATTAAACACTTCCATTTAAAAGAGAAAATTCTGGGGCTGGCAGGTGGCATGGTGGTTGAAGGCACTGGATTCCCACATGGCTGACTGTAGTTTGAATCCTGGACCTGGCAGCTTGCTTTCTTCCCCACCCCCACATCCCTACCCCCGTCTCTCTCTGGTCAAATTACAAAATAATAATGAAAAAAGTGGAAATAAATAAATGTTTTTTAAAAAGGCCTGAGTTACTCTAGAAAAAAAATTTAAAAATTAAAGAGAAAATTCTCACCATTAATTCTAATTTTTTCCATAATTTGAAAAAAAGAGGGGGAGGGTCACCATTATTTTGTTTTCCCATTGAATCAGTTTGGTCCAGCCCCTGGAAAATCCAGGTTCTGCAGGATCTTTGTCCTAGGTAAGTTTGTCCTATATTATACAGGGTTTAGGGCTTCCACCATGGACGTGCCAAGAATGTCCTATAGCACACGAGTCTGCCTTTCATGCCCCTTGGGTCTGTTCCTGCCTCCCTCCCAGTGGAGCATCTACAGTTGACTGGGCTTGGGTTTCAGGGGTATTGAGAGTGGCTCTGGGGAAGAAGGCAGGGCTTGTGGGCAAACTACACTTGGACCAAGGAGCCCCAAAGCCTCAAAGGAACTGCCGAGAGTGGCCTGAGAGTCCTCCGCTCCCTGGACTAGGTCGTTAGCAGCCTTGGGTGGACCAGCTCAGCTAACCCCTCCCAAGGAAACGGGAAGCACCTCTAACAGTCTTCCTCATTTTCAAGTCACTGGAGTCTTGTTTTGAGTCTTGTTTTTATTTTTTTGTTGTTGTTGTTTAAAAAGGCCAGCAGATGGCATAGTGACTAAGGCCCTGGATGCCACATGATCAACTCTGCGGTTCAAGTCCCAGACCTGGCGGCCTGAGGAAACATGCCAGGCATGTATGTGTGCATGGCCAAAACCCCGAGAGGAGAATAGAGGAGAAAGGATGGCATAGTCATCCCTCAAAGGGGTGATTTCTCACTTTCTCTCTCTCTTAAGAGGGAGAGAAACATGCCCTGTGGCAATAATTGAAAAAAAAAAACAGTAAAAGGTTTGGGACATCTCTGTAGACCCAAGATTTTCACCCCTGTCTCCAACCTAAATCTTAGAGCTCTGCTAGAGCTGGAAGACCCATCATGCTCATCTGATAAAGAGGGTGACGAGGTGTGAGCGCCCAGCCATGCCGTGAAGGGTCTGGGCACACGCATGCACTGCTCTGTGATGGAGGGCTCAGCGAGCCTGCTGCTGTCTCAGGTCTGGCACAGCGCGAGTGACCACCTGCCACATTTCCACATTTGACTTTAACTACTCCTCTTACAGAGGGGCGAAACTGGCCCTTAGAAGGAGGTAACTCTCCAGGCCAGCAGGTGGCATGGTGGTTAAAAGTGCTGGACATTCCCACATGGCCGACCATGGTTCGAGTCCTGGACCGGTGGCTTACTTTCTCACTTTCTGTCTCTCTCTCTCTCTCTGTGTGTGTATGTGTGTGGTCAAATTAAAATAAATGAATGATTAAATAAAATAATTTTTTAAAAAAAGGTACTGGATTCCCACATGACTGATGGCGGTTCGGGTCCTGGACCTGGTGGCTTGCTTTCTCATTTTCTCTCTCTCTCTCTCTCTCTCTCTCTCCTCTCTCTGATCAAACTGGAAAATAATAATAATAAATAAAGTTAATTTTTTTTAAAAAGGAGAGAGAAGGCGGTACTCGCTGATGACAATCCAGTTGGTGACAAAAGTAGGATAAGAACGTAAGACTCTGGCTTCCCAGAAGACTCTAGCCTGCCTCAACCACCCATCGGAGCTAATAATCTCTGAGAAGGAAAAGCCATTTCTCTGCCTTCACCAAAGACAGAGAAATGGACGTATGCTCAGGCACATTGGAAGTGAACCAGTAAACTTGAGCCCAAGTAGGGTTCGTGCGCCCGCAGTGACTTTTTGGTGTTACCTCAGTCTTAATGGGAGCTGTGGGGAGGAACCTGGGGCGGGGGAGGCAGAGAGAGCCGTAGAGGAGGCTGGACCGAGGATATGGGTAAGCAGGGTGGTCTGTGCCCGTGCCAAAAGGGCAGGGAGCTCTGTCCTCGTATGTCATACGTTTGATCCTTATGAAGATTTTATAATTTGCTATAAATAGGTATACCGTAACTCTTTTTTTACTTTTAAGATTTTTGTCATACAGTATGTGTGCTCACCAGAGAGAAGCAGAGGGAAACAGAGAAAAGGAAAGGAAAGTGAGAAATCATCCCCCAGGAATGGTGGTTACACTGCAATTCCTTCTATTCTCCTCTTGGGACTTTGGGTATACGCACATGCCCAGTATGAGTTTCAAACTGCTGGGTCCAGGACTCAAACCACAGTTGAACCATGCAGGAGAGTAGCACCTTAATCACCAGGCCACCTGCTGACTCCTTATTGTAGCTCATTTTGTAGGACTTATAGGCAGCAGGGTCTGTTTCGGGTGTACCGCCACAGCCTGCCTGTAGGGGAGTCTGAATACCCAGGCCAAGCAGGAGTTCGGATCTCAAGGCCAGGCATTCTCACAGCTTGGGGAAGGGTGGAGAAGGGCCAAGGAAGGAGTATTTCTAGACTGGAGAAAAGGGAGCAAATTCTGCTTCTAGAATTCCATTACTCAACAGGCCACATAGTTGGGCACCTATTAATGTGTTTACCAAAGGTTTTCCCATTTACTTCACTAAGAGATTTTGAGAGAGCGTGTGAATCTCATTTCTCCTTTTTACACATTTCCAATTGCAATGGAGGTAAACGAGACAGCGTGAGCAACTCTCCGGCCAACTTTGTAGGAATATGTTTGGGCGTTGCCTACCGTGACGGTGGCTACCGCACAGCAAATGTCAACAATCAGAGTTATGCTGACATTCAAACCCTGACCAAGTGCTGGGCCCGCGCCCGACACTGTCCCTGATGCTGGCAGATGGTCGTCAGCAGACAGCGCCAGGCCCTGCCCTCATGGAGCTCACGTTCCAGTGACTTCTCCCGAGCCTCATTTCCTTAGATTACCTTGTCAAATTGGTTTGCTCCATAATCTTCTCCCAAGCTTGTGGATGAGAGAGTAGCCAATGTATGTTTTCTTTAGTCATCTCGGACCAAATTATCTGAACAATGTTCCGGTAAAGCAGGTTACCTAATTATAATATGTGGGAATAAAGAAAAACAAGATTAGAATACATCAAAAATCTTAATGCCTCAAACTTTTGCATCATTTTTGCCTGATCATTTTTTTAGAGAGATTTTTGCTATCCAGCGCATGTGCTCACCAGAAAGACAGAGAGAAAGTGAGAAATCACTCCCCCCGGGGGTGTGGCCATGCTACAATCTCTTCTCCTCCGTTTTCCTCTCAAGATCTTGGGTACGCACACACATGTACCCTGTGTGAGTTTTAAGCCACCGGATCCAGGACTCGAACTGTGGTCGACTACGTAGGAGTCTAATGATGTAACCACTACGTCATGTGCTGGCCCCTTGCCTGATCATTTTAACCACACAAGCCATGCTAATACTCGGTGGTGCGTCAGATGTAGTAAAACTGCTCTCTCAGGCTGCTGGTGGTAAAGCACGTTAGTAAAGATTTTTGAAGTTTTGAGAGTACATATTAAGTTACAAAAGTCTTCTGCTAGTCATACAGTAACTCCACAATAGGCTCAGAGACAGCTAGGGCCACACTCTTTATAATAGTATTAACTTGGAAGAAGGTAAATTCTGTCCAGCTCCCCCCCCACACACACCACCACCACCATCTACAGTCCTGAGAAGGACACAGTCCAGTCTGCTTAAACCCTCCTAGAGATGAGAAGCTAGTTGTTTGGTTGTTGGTTTGTTTTAACCAGGCAGGCAATATTGCAGCTACCCAGGGCCAACAAGTGGTTGGAGGTTAAGGAAATAAGGTGCTGGATCCCACATGGCAGGCTGCATGGTTCAAGTCCCAAACCCAGCAGCTTAAAAAGCACACTGGGGGGCCGGCAGGTGGTGTGGTGGTTAAAGGTGCTGGCCTCCCACTTGGCCAACCACTGTTCGAGTTCTGGACTTGTGGCTTGCTTTCTTGCTTTCTCTCTCTCTCTGTCTCTCTGATCAAAAACTGGAAAATAATAATAATAAAGCTAAATTTAAAACAAACAAACAAACAAAACAACAACACCAAAAAAAAAAAAAAAACAAAACACATGCTGGGCGCAAGTGTTGAATGCCCAAAATCCCTAGAGGAGAATGGAGAAGGGATTGCGTCATGACCAATTCCTCTTCCCATGGAGAAAGGTGATTTCTCATTTTCTCTCTCTCTCTCTGTGTCTTTCTCACTCTCCAGTGAGCTCATGCACCCTATAGCAAAAACTAAAAAAAAAGAAAAGAAAAAAATGCAGCTACCCTATCATAAAGTCTCTCATGTTGCAGTTTCTTCTACAAAATGATGTTTCAATGACAGACCACGTGGATGATGGTGGCCTCATAAGATCATAATGGAGCAGACAAATTCCTATTACTAGTGACATCTTCACTACTCCGACATCACAGCACAAGGCATTGTCCATGTTCGTGGTGAAGCTGATGTAAGTAAACCTGCTGCACTTCTGGTCACACAGAGGATAGCACAGACTGTCATGCATAGCATAGTTGAATATCATCATTTCAGAGCATACGCTTCTGCTTTTTAAAAAAGAAAAAAAAACGTCTACTAGGGACCAGCAGTTGGCATAATGGTTTCATCGCTGGATTCCCATGAAGTCGACCGCAGTTCGAGACTTAGACCCCATGGCTTAAAACTCACACTGGGCATGTGTGCATGTGTGACCAAGATCCCAGGAAGAGAAAGGAGGAAAAAGGATTGCTGTATGACCATCCCCCCCGGGGTTGGGGTGGGGGGTGATTTCCCACTTTCCATCTCTCCGGAGAATGCACGTGCCCTATAGCAAAATCTCTCTTAAAAACAAACAAACAAAACTCTACTATAAAACTTTAGATGGCATCATTTTCTCCTAGGCCTGATTTCATCTCATGGCGCTTTGTTCATTAGCCCTTCCAGTGGGACAAGACGTGGAGACGGAAGACAGTGATGCTGATGATCTCAACCCTGCATAAGCCAAGGCTGACATGTATGCTTGTCTCTTCGTTTCTAACAAAAAATGATAAAAATTAGAAATTTTAAAAATAGAAAAATGATGATAAGATATAGATACCAAAATAGAAAACATTTTTGTGTAGCTGTACAATGTATTTGCGTTATAAACTGTTATTACAAGAGTCAAAAAGGTTTTTTAAATTTGAAAGTTTATACCAAATGACCCCATAACTCCATCCTTGGGTATTTATTCCAAGGACAGAACTTGCTCTGTCAGAGAGCGATCTGCATGTTCACGTGTATTGCAGCGTTATTTACAATAGCTAAGATGACCAGATTGAGAAAATGTGGCGCGTGCACACATGGAATATTCCTCGCCACAAAGAACAACAAAGTCTGTTATTTGACACAAGTGTTAAATCTAGAAGATGAGCTAAGCAACATTAGTGAGGCCATCTATGAACGACAAATATTCTGTGTCCCCACTTGACGTGCGCTGAATGTCCGCGTTCTATGACGGAAACCGAAGTACTCGATCTCCTAGAAGCAGAGGGGGTAATGGTATAAACTAGACACTGTTGGGGAGGGCTTCAGGGAAAATGAGCAGCAGACACAAGAGCACATGTAAACGAGTAGAATATGTTATAGAATTATAACCACAGCTGAGTACCCACCTCACTAGCAATTCAATCAGTACTTCAACATAACCCACACTATGATCAAATGTGTACATTATGTAACACTGAAGGTTCAGGACAATGAATAGATCTATGTCCTTGATTTGATTATTAAATACCATATGCATGCTTTGAGAAAGCTATTCTGCACTTCACAACAATGTACAATGATTATTTGTAAACCAGGAATCACAATGTCAAAATATTTGTTAAAAAGTTACAATAAGTTAAGGTTAATTTATTATTGAAAAAAGAAAAAGATTTTTATAAATTTGGTGTGGCCTAAGTGTGCAGTGTTGTTTTAAGTCCAATCATTTATGGGTTTTTTTTTTTTTTTTTTGAGAGATTTTTGCTATAGGGCACATGTGCTTGCCAGAGAGATGGAGAGAGACAGAGACAGAAAGCGAGAAATCACCCCCCAGAGGGCATGGCCATGCTGCAATCCTTTCTCCTCTATTTTCCTCTTGGGATTTTGGGCATGCACACACATGTGCCCTGCGTGATTTTTTTTTTTTTTGAGAGATTTTCACTGTAGGGCGCATGCGCTCGCCAGACAGACAGAGAGAGACATAGAGACAGAAAGCGAGAAATCACCCCCCAGGGGGGATGGTCACGCTGCAATCCCTTCTCCTCCATTCTCCTCTCGGGATCTTGGGCACGCACGCACACGCGCCCGGTGTGAGTTTTAAGCCACCGGGTCCGGGACACGAACCGCGGTCGACTACGTGGGAGTCCAGCGACATAGCCATTACGCTAACTGCTGGTTCCCTTGCCCTGCATGATTTTAAGCCGCTGAGTCCAGGCCTCAAACCGTGGTTGACTACATGGGAGTCCGAAACATAACCATTATGCCATCTGCTGGTCCCAAGTCCAATCATTTGATGCATGAAAGATTATGTGTGTGTGCCCTTGTGCACACATGTGGGAGGGAGAGGCAGAAAAGTACCCTTTAAAAGGTCTGCCGTGATCTCCTTCTCACAATGACGAAACATTAAGAGGCAAGTATTCATTGGGAAAATGTGAAGGAAAAGTAGCAAAATTATTGGATAGGGTTGCAATTACAAAATATAAGAAATTGTTATGAGACACTAAATCTTTGGGATTTTTTAGGCTAATTAAGTGGTAAAGAGAAAAAAAAGGGAAAGTATTTATATCAAAAGCAAACTAATATTCCATGAGAACTTTGTTTTAACTTCTCGTCGGTGCACTGTGGAGCTCTGAGAAAATTTAAAAACGAGAGCCCCGGGGACCCCGCGCGCTGAGCGAGCGCCGCGCCGGGCGGACGGAGCAGGCCGCTCCCTGGGACCCTTCCATCCTTCCTGCTCAGTAGCCTCTGCTTCATGCATGCTCAGGTCATATCTGTTTCTCAGGTTCAGTCTTTCCAGAACCACATAGATGGCTAAGTTTTTTGGGGGGGCAGGGAGGGGGATCTCGCCATGTTACAATCCTTCAGCCCCAACCTCC